TAGTCATAAATTAGAGAGCGGGGTTTTAGAGATCCTAATGGAAGGGAAATGTAGTAATTTTATTGCAAATCCCATCAGGCAAATATTCTGCATGCTATAATAGCATATTTCCTGTCACATTTAGAGAGGAATACATCCAGCAGGCATTCTGACAGAGGGAGAACAAGCAAGGAAAAGATAGAGGGGGAGGGTGGATGGATGAGAACGAGAGAGTTGCAGAGAGAAAACAAAAGAGAGGGGGAGAATCTTACTGCTAAACACATAAAAACTCCCTTTTTGGACGTGAGGCTATGGGAAACGCAGTATGGAGTAAGTGCTTAAAGCGAGCCAAGCGTGAACGCATCCAAGATAAAAGGTCAGGCAAAAACAAACAGACCACTCGCGAGGACGAATGGAATTAATTGACTCATTAATATGCATGGCTAATAAAGCTCAAAATCCTAAAAGAAAAATCATTGTCAACCATTCCCTTTTAATGGCTCTTATTTTCAGCTTGAGAAGAGCTAGTCTACAGGGTGTATCAATCTTAGGCGGGGTGGAGTTCCTCCAGCAAACAGGCTCGGGGTAACCTCGGTGTTGTATGCTCATGTCCTCCCCAGCAGACAAAGGCAGAGTTGTTCTGGTGGAGGGATTAATTGAGAATTAATCCCAGTTTCTGGCAGTGGAACAGACCGGCAGTTAGAAGTGAAAGTCATCCTGAAGGGTAGTTAATTGGTCCCCCATAGCAAAAGCTTTGGAGAACAGAAATCAAGCTGCATTTTCATTAATCCTCCCCATTGTTTTGTGAAATTGTTGTGGAGAGTGACTTCAGATAGAGTCAATAGTTAAGGCTTTTAATTTGCTTTTAATTCTGCCAGTGGGGTGACAATTAACAAACCCCAAAGAACAATAGCTGTGAAGACGATGCGTACGGTTGACTCTAAATGACTCTAAAATCAAAAACCGATAAGCAATTAATATACTGTGCTCTACAAATGGTTAAGTACCCCCAACATGCTTGATGCCCTCCATCTTGCACTCCCTCCACCTCTTTCTTTACATCACTCTCTCACCGCTAAAGCTTTTGAACTTTGGGAATAGCACCACCAGATTGTCGGATGTGATTAATTTCAGGTCTAAATGGACACAACAGAGCGAAAGGGTGATGTAATCATAACACGAAGAGACACGGTGACTAACAGCAGAGACGGAGGAGGGAGAAAAACGCATAGAAAAAGGGGAGAGAGAGGAGAAACCGAGCAAAAGATGTGGACGGAGACAGCAACGACTCACAAACACAATCTGAGTTCAAGCTAAACAGGAAGGCAGTGGTGATTAGCATTAATTGCACTGAGGATTGGAATCCTGTGTGAAACATTAAACAAAAAATTATCTACTGTTTATTCTCTTTTTTTCCCCTGATTTTCTTTTTTTCAATAATTAATGAAAAGTAAATACTTGGAGGAGTCCAAATATGATCTGGGGAGGGGAAAAAATGTTTACATAATCAGGAAAAATGTTCCTGTCTTTCCTCTCTCTGTGTATACATGGAAAGGTTAGGGCTCGAGTCTGTTTTCCCACTGATTCTCACTGTTTCTCCATCAGAAGTAACAGTGTCTGTTCCCCTGAGTGTGGACTGCTGTGAGAGTGTTTGCATATTTAGATACAAGCAGCCCTGTTTATGCAGCCCCACTCTCTGCTGCTCAAGTTCACTCCAACGCAAGCCCTGATCAATTTGGCCAGCTGTGCTTTAAATACTGTTTACAACAATAACATCGTGGCTAACAGAGCAAAGCCTAGCGTGCAAGCACACACACTTTCCCAGAGACGGGAAGAGAGAGAGAGAGAGAGGAAGAGAACTTCAGAGGAAGCCCCCAGCCTGCACATTCCCAGACGAGCATTTGTACCGAGTTAAAGACAAATCAAAGTCTGACTCCTCTGCAAAACACGGAAGAATTGGATTCCGTCTGTGTACATCTCTGTGATCCTCCCGGAAGAATCCCTGACTGCGAGCAACGAGAGGAAATAACAGGAACTCAAACTACATTCCCACTCTGAAGTGGGCCAAATTGAAGATGGCACGTACCAGTTACAGGCTTTATTTCTGATGAGTGACTGGCATTGAGCGCACAATATAATGTCAGCCTCACTGAAACCCCCACATACATAACAATTGCTTTTGACAAGCTGCACTGCGTTTCACAAATAACTCTGTTTGGGTGAGATACTGTGCCTCCTTGAGACTTCAGATTCCTGTTAAAAGCTTCATAAAAGAAAAAAGAAAACTCCATTTAAGCCTGGCAGGAGAGCAAATAGGCCTGCTCAGCAGATAGCAGAGAAGCTGCTGGTGTCCTCTTGCTTGATGATATAATTCTTAATGTACAGCCTGGCTAGACATAAATCTTACCCAGGCACCACCTCACCTGGATTCTTTTCTCTGCCTCTCTTTCTCTCCCTCTCTCATGATGAATTGTTTGCTACATCTCGGAGACTAAAACCCTTCAACCTCTTCAAACCCGGGTTTCTAATAACGCGTAGGTGTTGGGGAGAGATGACAGCATGATGAATATCACAACAGACAGCTCCAATATGGGACAATTTTACCAGATCGATATCTCACTGCAATATCAGAGAAAAGGAGCTGATATTAGTCTGCACAGTGTATTACAGATGGGGTACATTTCTTCTCTCTGCACTCCCAGTGAACCTAGGCTATATTTCATCCGTGTCAGCAATGGTTTACACACTCACAAACGCTCTGGAAACTAATCATAGCATGTAGCAACGCCAGATGCATCCGCTTAAGAATTATCCATACGTGTGGATCACCCATAACCCCTTGTTTGACGCCGCAATGGACTTGCAAATAAACTGTGAATCACATTAGAGGATGTTACAGACAATCATTTCAAGTGAGAACAAATGTTTTGTCACGTTCTAATAGAGAGATCACGGGTCTCATGAGGGAGAGGCGGTTTCAGAAGGGAAAGCTGAGGCAAAAAAACGGTTTCTCACATTTGAACAATTACACGAGAAGTACAAAGACAGGCAACACACACCTGAAAAACAACAATGAACATGCAGAAGGTGTAAGTGACACACCGGTAGCAGTTTCCCTTTAGGTACAATTTCAAGGGGAAAAAGGGAAAACAGTCATAAAGAAATGTCCCTTTAGTCCTTTCAAATTGTGTAGGGCAAAAACAGTGTGACAAAATAATGTAATTGCCTCGCAGCATATTTTCTACATATTTCAATTGTTGATGTGATAATAACTTTTGTCCTTAATAAATCTTGAAAATGTTTGAATGAGTCCAAATAAACAGGGTTCTTTAATCACTTGGTTCATTCATATCTGTGTGTCATTAGAGCGCCGGGTTTAATTTGCAGCAAATGATGGTTCAGGGGATTCATCTCAGTACAAACATTTGTTGAGCCCTAGATGAATAAATCAATCACAAACACTCTGACAAATTAACTGACACAGCTCTCTTTGTCACGCTCCGCGCTAAACACCGTGGTCAAGTAACGTGTGGCTGAAGAAATAGAATGAGACACCTTTTGCTTCCAAGGGAGTCGGATGCATATAGGGAGAGAGAGAGAGGGAGAGAGAGAGAGAAAAGGACTAACAGAGAGACTGAAGGAGAGTGCAGACGCTGCTAATGCTTAATATCTTCTCTCTCCAGGGGACCCGGGGCTGAGGGCCCCTCTGCTGTCAGCTGCAATAGGACCAGCCTTTTTGTGAGTGCCCAAGGTTCCTTAAGGGCAATTAATGGAACACAGCGTCCCTTGTGCGGGGGGAACTTGTCAGTGTTTCATTAGAGACTGATAAACATACATAAGTGTCAAACAGTGTGTGGGCAGACGCAGCGGCGGAAACGGGATTTTGGGATTGCAGTGAAACACCCATTCCCATGCATCCACTGACAATATTAATGATTTCATAAAGAGGGAGGAGTACGGGGGGACACATCAAGACCTGTGGCGCATACTGTTGGCATCACAGAGGAAGTCTATTGCTGGGGTGCAGCTTGGCAAACACTGAATTGTTTTATATCCTTGAACGGTGATCTAAGTAAAGAAAAGTATTCTTGGGTCGATATCTAGCCAACGTTAAACAAGCTGGCATGTCTCTGTTGTTCTCTTCTGGCAGACTGGGCCCAAAAGTACAAGTAAAAGAAATACATCATATTCAATTAAAGTTCCTCTTTCACCACTACTGAACAAATCAGCCCACAGCTGGGACTCTGGGTCTAGTTCACAAAGTCCTTTTGATCATTCTGTGGCAGTGAAAGAGTTTGGAGTCCCATGGAGTATGGGACCAAGCTGATCTTATTATGATAATTGGGATACATCTACTTCAGATAGCACTAATGGAGTGAGATTTCAGTGATCAAGAGCACATATTCCACTGTAGAAGCAAGTTCACTTTTTCTTTAGAGTTATTATGCAATGCTCTGGTTGTGTTCCCAGTAGGCTGCGACTGAGACCGCCAGCACAACTCAGAGTATGCTTTTAGCTTTGGTGTTGGAAGCTCTGCGACGTTTAGCGCTGAAGAGAAGTGTTACCGCGGCGAAGTTACATTTATTTCCTCATGAGTGAGTAATTGGGTATACCATGACCGTTAATCAGTTAATCTTCTCTTTTTACCCCCTCTCTTCAACAGAGAAATATCAGAGGTTTAATAATTAAAAACGTGTCAGGTGAAAGTCCAACGCGCTTCCTCACACTGTATGTTCTCACATTCCCTGCTTTGTTCATCTTATTAACCTCCTCTCCGCGCCTTTAAATGAAATCTTTAGCCCCTTACATGTGAAATTAAAACTGCCCTCCCTTGAGCGCTTTTAATTATTCTTCTTCAGGAGAAACTTCCACTTTTGTCAGGGCGGCCTTTTTCTACCCAGTCGCTTTTTCCTCACTCCCACTCGCTGCCCAGGTCTGTCATGCTTCACTCCTCCCTCCTGCCCGTTGCTCGGATCCTTTTTTTCTTTTTCTCTTCTTCTGCGGGTCTGTTTAATTCTCACCTTGCTCTGCCCTTGTCATCAAGCCGTTGAAGCACAAAGCCAGGAGCAAGGGAGTGTTTACTCATTTCCCCACTACATTACCCCTCCTATTAATCACCGCATGGAAACTTCTGGACACTGAAACATCTCTGCAGTCGCTGGCCCAGCTGCCCCCTGACTCTAAATAACTGGCATTCGGAAACACACAGACAGAAAACTGAACAACTTGTTTATCCAAGTAAACTTTCTCAAGCTGAGAAGGGTTCAATGTCAAATATTTGAAACGTCTTTTTTTCTTTTATGCTGAAATTATGACTGTGAAAAATAAACATAATGATGGCTCTTGATAAACACTGAATTTAAGTAAACATGGAGTTAGTTGACATTGAAATGCATGAAACATTATGTGCACACAGGACGTGCAGAGGTTAGTGTCTCTAATTAATCAAATTTAATTGCATGTAAATTGTGTTTTAAATGCAGATGAGGGAAAAATAAAAAAAGCTGTTTTTTTTAAGGAGAAGGCACCCTACTTGTTACCCTGTTCTTGTTTATTCACTGAGATCAGAGAGTAGAACAACGAACAGTTTGTGCAAATAAGCCATGTCTCTAACTACTGTCAAATATCAAGGCTGGAGGAAAAAATAAATACTGAAATCTTTATAAAAAACAAGGGTGAAAAATATAAATAGTGGGAAACAATTAGATGTAGAGTGTCCACACTGCCATGTGAACAAGGCAACGCTACAGCCAAGGATTCTTATGAAATTCAATTAACACACCAACAGCTTTCCTTTTCTCTCCTGCCCTAATTCCCACATTCCCGCTGAAATGACTGCATTCCCAGCGATTATGCTAACCGCTTGGAGTGCACCATAAATTCACAGGTCTGGGAAAGGCTGTAACGAGAGCTCCTTAAATATAGGAAGGAGACGTTTGAGAAGATGGATCGCCGTGGGCTAGCGGCGGACCGGCAGTGGGCAGGGGGAACTTGTTTGTGAAACACATGCTACTCGCTGCTATAGTGCCTCTAATGAGGCTATGGACATAAGCAACATTATCATTAATGATTGAACCCCTCCTTTTCCGGCTTTTTCTTTTCTTTTTTCTCTGCCACAGCCCCCTGTCCTTTTGCAATTACTGTTTTATTGGATAGCCAGAGGCGGCAGGCTGCATGTGTGTCAGCTATATATGGGAGAAGAAAGAACCCAAAATATTTGAAATTCAAATAAACGAGTAATGTAAATAGTTTTGAGAGAGTTTACCCAGTGAACAATGGCCCCTTATGAGACACAAGTGCAACAGAGGGAGAGAGGACAGGACTGCTGGTGTGGGGTTAGGAGCGGTGGGGGTTGGAGGGATGATCCAACACAATGTGGCCCTTCTCCTAAAGCAACTTGTTATCAGGCGCTACGCAGAGCCCCCCATTCAATCTGCATTTAAATACATTTCAGTCCACTCACTCATTTGCATTCATTTCTCCCATTATATTTGAAAATGGCCAAATGTCTAGCCAGCACAATGAGGGAGCCTATCACCGGCCAGGGGAAGCCCACACCTGATGCCAATTTAGCCTGCTTGGATCTATTCACTGCCATGGCCCGATCCGACAACTCCAGCTCTTCCCCATCCAGAAGACTTTTCAATTGGATTTGCTTGTGGTGACAAAATTGTTTTGCTCATTGAGGTTTTTTTTTTTCCTTCGTCTTCTTCTTCTGTTTCCCCCCCCTTTTTCCGTCTCGCTCTCTCATCGTCACTCCCTCTGTCTGTGAGTCTGGGTGTCTATTTGGGAGCCATGGGAAAAGGAGAGGCAAATGATTCTCAGTGGCTTCTGATTTCCACTATTTGTTCAGCATTAGGCCCACTTATCTCTGAAAGAAAAAGCAACATGTGGAGAGAAAGTGACAGGCAGAAACTCAGCCTCACTAACAGGCCTATTGTGTGCTGAAGATCTGCATTCAAACATGAGGGGCCCTCTAACTCTTTCTCTCTCTCTCTCTCTCTCGCTATAAAACACGCGCATACTTGTGCATAGACTTCTGTCGCAGTCAATTACTGCTGCTAATCTGTACTGCAACGGAGAGTAAATATTTCATTACTTTTTCAAATAAACAGTTGGTCTGAGCCCATGAAGTGTCATCTATCCTGTGAAAGGAGCGGTGACGTTCACATTCAATTACTCCTTAAAACCGCCAAAGCTACTGAAGTGGACTTTTTTTGTGCTGAAAGCCCACTACTTAAATCATTAGAATTGGGTAGCAACATCTTGAGATGAAAAGCTGAGTGGAGAGCCAACCATTTACACTACAGCACCTTTTCTTCGGCCCCCGAAAAGATTCTGTGAGCACCGCTCTCGCTTCCCCTTCCTCGATAATACTCTCCCTTTATTCCCCCGCAGAAAAGTTCATCAGAGTTTGTGTCCACTTGGCTCGGCACAGACACACAACGCTGTTTTTGTCGCGACATACTAAGTAGTGTTGTGTGAGATTAGCAGATGAAATAATGCAAGGAGCAGGGAGGGCAGGAGGGAAGGGAGGCGGGGGGGGGAAACTGGCGGGGGGTTGACAGAGAGATCCCAGAGTCTACTGCTCATTAATCACTGCAGCGTCTTTGACCTTTCATTTGCCAAGGGCGCAAAGAGAGGAGGAGGAGGGTGGCCGCCGCTGCTAACGCTGCCCAGGAAAGAAGGAATGTGAGACACGGTGAGGGGGTGTATGCTGGAGAAGAAGCAACAAAAAAAAGATGACCAAGAGACTGTGTGGAGGTAGGGAGATGTGTCCGGAGAAGACGCCACAACACATTGTTAATGAAGAGTGAAATTAATCAGCTTCACGGGCTGTTAGATGAATCAGGCGTTTCCCAGCCCCTAGGTGGTATCAGCTGCTCTGCTCCGCTCGCCAGGCCTGATAAAGACCGATAGGCCCCTTGCCCATTTACACATGTTATTAAAAGAATTACAAAGATGTCTGCCTGGCCCCCCTCCCTTCACACCAGCCTGGGCTTTGGGAACCGGGTGCGGGAAATGGCAGGGGGGTGTGACATTAGCGGCAGGCCTATTTTTAGCGTCTGGGTGCTCAGTTCTTAGTCACCAGGTAGGATGGGATCACTGAAGGCAGCCAGGCAGAAGTGGTGGTGAGAAAAAGTTGACACACCGCAGCTATCGCAGAGAAGTGAGTGTGTATTTTTATGCATGCGTGTGACAGAGAGTGAAGGAGGAGAGAGAGAGTGATGGAGGGAGGGTTTGTACAGCTGTAAAAGCTGGATTGTGACCCTGCGTTCGAGACTCGTGTTGATTAATATGTAGAACGATGCCTGTTATACATCATTACATCTCTATTGTCTGTTGCAACTTGGAAACACACTCCTGTAATTAGATAATGAAGTCTCAATGTTTCACAATGAGAGCGCTATAAAAAATACTCTGGACTAAATAATTAAGCTACAAATAAGCACGGGAGAAAATAAATAATAACGCAGGCTAATCAAGTGAAAATAATGACACTTACGGAATCAATACAGGGGAAACGAGTGAAGGAGAGTTTAGAATCAAATATGGTGGGCAGTTATTAAAAATACATTTAAGCTTATTTTTAACCCTAATTGATGTTCAAGGTTAATCTAATCAGACCAATTGTACCTCTGAAGAGCCTGCTCCAATTTAATTGGCTATTTTTATTGCCTCAGCGAGATTTTAATTGAAACCAAAGGGGATCTAACAACAACTGTGACATGTTGATGTCTGGGGGATAGTTATAAATATGTGACAAAATATGTGCATTATTAATGTGATTTCTTAATGCATTATTGTAATATGTCCCCAGAAACACAGAGATATTACTTTACGCAACAAGGGGGGAAGCAAAAAAATCATTTCATCCTGAATATGTCAACAAAATAATACAGACACATTTTCCTCTGACTCCAGGCAAATCTAGAGATTTAAATCATTAACGTTACATGGAAAAATTTGAATTTGTCAAAGAAGAGCTAGAGGTTACGCACAGTGCCATGGACACTAATCTATCCTACAAAGTACATCCTGAGACTGTTGAGAAAACTGTCCATCATGTTTGTACGAGTGTTAACTAAGCTGTCAGCATATTCAAAGCTCCCCTGATCGCTTCCGATTGTGTGACTCAAGAACAGTGTTACCATCTGCATTAGAAAAGCGATGAGACCATTAAAAAAGTGTCATTGATTCAAAAGAAGAGATAACATTGTATCTGACACAGGCGTGAACATTAGCATGAGACTCCTGGATCAAATTCCGCACGGCAGCAGTAGCCATTGATGATATCGATCAGACTTTACCTGGCCCATCAGTCTGGCACTTGAAGAAATGGGCTTCCTCTCTTTGTAGAGAGATCCGCGGAAATTCTCTCTTACATCTGTGTGAAAGTGTCTTAAATGGTTCCCATTTGGCAGAACTGTGATTTTAGAATTAAAGGCTTATTAATTGCATGCCTGCTTCCTGCTGAATGATCCACAGAGAATTTAGTGGCGCACAGGAATCAGCGCTGGTGGAGTGTTGTTATTTGTTGTGCTAAGGGATGTCTTTACAAGTGCTTTAAATATCAGACCTATTTCCAGACCTTAAATGACAGAGGCTCAGATAAGTAAAGATAAACCGAGAGGCAAGTAGGGAGACTATTACAAAGAGTGAAAAAAAATGTAAATGCATTGCTCTGTCTGTCATGTGCGAGTGAAAAGAGAGTACAACGGGGCCCATAGTCCCACAGAAAGAGTGGAAAACACCACCTACTCAAGCCTGACATCTGTATAAAAACAAAAATAATCTGCTGTCAGCAGAATGTTCAATGACTCCTATCACCCGGGTGCTGATAAAGACTCGGGCCGCTGTAAGGATTGGGCTGTTATGTGAGGGGCTCAGTGGATCGGAATGCATGCTAATTGCCATCAGAAATATGTGGTGAGCCTTACAATTTCTGGCATTGCTCCGCACCTTGGCGAAGGACATGCCAGAAGGGTTCTAGCAAAACAAAGATTAATGAACAGTGTTGAATCGCTGTAATGCCATGTCAACAGCACCATACATTTCATTACAGAGGTCACCAGTGCTTCTGTGCTAATGCCATGCGAAACATTTTCACAGCACAAGTCTTAGTGCCTCCAACAAGCTGAAAACAGGAGATAAACATTTGACTTGTTGGATGATATTATACCGCTGATGTGATTATACGGAGCCATTTGCAGTGGCCAAATGCACGTTTTGTCAGCCAAAAAGGTATGAAAAGGGGTGTTGAAAATGGAAAAGTTCATAGCATCACCACAGTAACAGCAGAAAAAATATATTCAACGTGTCCGTTTAATCCACTGTGTCAGTAAAACCTGATGCTCTAAACAGGTGCAAACTCCCCCTTTTAAATAATTGATATTTTCTGATTAAATGTGGCAGTTTGGAGATAATGAATTCTTTATAGTGTGCCTTGAGCAACTCAACAGCTTTGCCCTGCATGACAGCTTTATGGGGCGTCTTTTTGCCCAAATTTTGAAAGTTTAACCTATGTAGATCAATGTGCTTCCTTAAAAGAGTTTAATAAATTAAAGTGCAGGGGGCTTTTTTTCCTCAGCGAGCAGAAAAAGCTGATGAGACAGGTTTAGTTTAATCTCAGGCAATAGAAGTCATTAACCATTCTCCCAGGAATTAAAATATAGCTTGCCCTTTTCTTCTCTCACTTATCATTAGCATCACTTTAATCTCCCCGCGTTTCACACTGCTATTTTAATCATTACTTACTGCCTTTTGACAAGTGAAGAACATGGCTTCTCCCCGCTCAGGCAATATCCTGATTTTAGCTGACAAAATGTAGGACATCATTTAAAAATATCTAAATTTCCTCTTCCCTTTTTATTCTTCTTACTTCCACTCTTCAGACCCCTGAATGTCTGTCTATTTATATCAAAGAAAGCACAAAAGACCAGAGGAGATTGAGTGGACGATATTGAAAATGTAATTTGAGTTAGCTGCAAGGGTAACAAAATGTATAATACAGTTTATTTATGTCTATCATGTTATTTTAATAGAAGGTGAATTGCACATATTGCTCTAAGTGGGTCATGTAGGGTATTGGGGGTATATGTGTCTGCCCTTGAATCAATGAACATGTACAACAGAAACCACATGCAGTATCTGTAGAGCAGAATATAAATAAAGTATTATGGCCAGTCTTTCAATGACAATGACAGATGTAGGGCAAGCAATGTCTTCAACTTGTGTTTCTTTATTGTTACTGGTAACAGTGAAATTGAACAATGGCAGAGGATATGGAGCATGATTAATTTGAAAATGATGGAGAAAAAAAAGAATACAATAGCCTACAGCTGATGCATTATATTTCTAATTGTGGTATTGTGTGACATTTCTAGTTTGGGTATTTCATTTCATGATCTAAATTCCACACAGAATAAAACATGTGAACAACATAGCTTCTGTTTTAAACATTACATATTCGCACAAACTACATCATTCCCATGATTCCGTTTTTGCTGTTATTTGCAAATAGTTAGTTTACACAGCTTCCTGTTCATGCAAATAGATACATTTTTAAGTCATTACATTTCAATTGACTGATTCAACAGTAATCCATCTAAGCTAGCGTAGTTCTGCCCTAAAATACATGATATTGAACTAATCTGCTTTCCCTCAGTGACTCAGTACTTCACTGCCTTTTTTAAAAACTGTGCCAAGATTAAAGGCATTACCAAAGAACAGGAACCTCAAGTCCTTTAGATTAGTGTTCAATTACTTAATCCTTTAATAGAATTTGAGTTTTGTCCAAAACAACAAAGTACCTCAAATGCACATTATTACTGCTGTCAAAAGCAACAAGGAGATTAAGTATAACCGCTACAGTGAGGTTTAACTGCTACGATTCTAGGCACGTATTTTACAAGTGGGGAAACTAATGTAACGATCATTTAGGGAAACATATGGATGGCATATTGTCCTAATGAGCCACACAAGCAAATGTGGAGCTGGAGACCCTGGAGTAACTTGAAGACTGTATCTAAGAACTCTTTTCTACAGACGGGAATAAAAGCCCTTGTTTTCCTTTCCTTGTCAATGGGTGCACGTGAACATGAAACCAGCATCCACCCTCCTCTCCTCTCTTCAAACCCCATGCCGCCCTCCCTTTCTCCTGCCTCGTTTTAAAAATCAACACTGAACTTGTTCTCTAAACGGTTGGAAGCAGTTTATGAACATTTCAACAATAAAATCCCCTCCTCTTACATCAAAAAGAAGCTCGATTCATTTCTGATCTCTATCCAAGTTCAAAGGCGAAGTTAAAGTGATACTTCAAAGAAGCGTGTAATCAAAGACACGCAGCTGTTAAAACAATCTTTTGTTAGTTCATTGTCTTCAAACTGGGCTCTTCACAAAATCCCCAAATGAAGGGAAGTAGAATCAAATAAGTTACATTCAATCATTCTGAGTGGGAGGCTTTGGTGTCATGCTAGGATAAATGCAACACCAAAGATTTACTACTATTTACAGCAGCTGAAGCAGTACAATAAGCCTCGTATCCTGCCGCAGGAAAAACTACCATGGTCCTCTTAAATATGCCACGGGCTCGAGGCACTGTAAAATATGCCTGCAACAAAAGTGAGGCATTTTGACAAATTAAGCACCGAGTTACGAAGGCTACATTGTTATATGTGATGCCTCTCTACTGCAAGGCTCTGTGTAAGCAGTATAATGTCCTATCCGTCTTTCCTCTGTGGCCTGCTGCACTGTGTCATTAGATTTCATCCACAAGGGCAAACTGCGGCTGTATTAACAAGTCGCTATCACCACTTGATGCCATTGAAATTTTAATGTAATACCATCCAAAAGGAAGTACACATGAAATGGGGGAAAAAAGGGCAGAAAAAAAATGGAGCTTTGCCAGTCCAGTGGCTTGGCTTAATTTTTTAATATGCGTTAGCACCTTGCCTTAATCCGAGTCTAATGTACATGGTCAGGGGTTACTGTTGAGATAGAGAAAGGGGCTGTCAATCAAAGCTTGGTCAAA